GTGGCGCCGCCACCTCGCTGTAGTGTGATGGTGGCGGAAGCATGTACTAATGCGTAGCCGGTACAATTTGCTTGTTTTCTCGTGCTGATGTTGGATTTTTTTTTTGTTAGGTTGGTAATTTCTATACAACTGCAAAAGCACTGCTTCTTCGTTATCCGACTAATTTAAGAAGTCAACAAAACGTAGCGTTTGTTGATTGAAAATAGATATATTAATTTTGGTCAACTTATTGTTTACGTTTTTTTGGCCATTTTGTTTTGGTTATGTTTTTATGTGCAAGTGAATAAATTGTAATGTAATGTAATTATAATTTAAATGAACTGTTATTTTACCGAAAATTATGTAAAATTATAGCTGTGAGCTCTGTGCTGGTGATTTGTGTTGTTCAATAAATTAAATATGAGTGCGTTGTCCATATTGTCGTTCGAAGAAGAAACGAAAATATTTCCAAAGGCGATTTTGCGTGTGTCGTATGTCCGGGCTAGGCGTAACTCAAAAAAGGTAATAATTTTATTATTTCTTTTAATAAACTACGATTTGCGGTTATAGGTATAGTTTGTTTTGTTAGCACTGGTTGTGTACCAATTTCATTAATGTTTTTAAAATCCAGTCATCTTGATCTCGCTTTATACGATTTTTCTACGCATTTAACGGTCAGTTTATACTGGTGTCGCATAGCTTGATGTGTAACCATTTGTACTTCGCCGCTCCAAAGTAGGTACCTAGTTAATAGATTTGTAAAATAGATACCTGCCTAGGTATCTATGTTGATCAACTTTATACACGGATAGTTTGAAAATAATTATGTACCTAATTTGTTTATACAAATTAATAAAATACTTACTAAACCTAATTATCTACTCAAAATTATGATGTTTCGGGAGTTTTATTTTCCGAGATTAATGTAGACCAAATTTTTTTTAATCATGTGATACCTTCTGCCTACCCTACTTCAAATCTCTGTGCACGCCCCTGTGTACGTGCATAAGGTATATTCAAGTTAATATATTATACTCTTGTGTAAAGTTACTATTAGCGAAGTTCCCTTTTAGCAAATTTTCCACGTAGCAGTATTTATTTTTGATTCATTTTCCTTGTAACGTCAGTAAACCCCTTCTTTTAATCAGGGCTAAATAACTTAATTAACACTCTCAAGGCACGAAGGTGAAAAATTGTTCTGTTAAGAGCTTAAAACGAGTTAGAGGATTAACATAAACGGTATTATTAATGCCCTAAACTAAACAGTATTTTATCAAATGGTATAATATCGAGTTCTTGTTGGCATCATTTGTAGCAAGCTGTTACGCAAATCCATGTATGTTTTTGTTAACGATTCAATTCCGTCGAGTTGCTTGTGCCCATAAAACATGAATATAAAATTGTGCGAGTAACGCATGACTCTTAATGAAAAGTATATTATCTCACATAAAAACATTTACGCTCGTTTTCAACGTTGGTTATTAAATTAAATCATAATTTACACACGTCGAGTTAAATCAGACTGTAAGCTCGTGAAATCGCAATAAAAATTATTTGACTCGTTACAGCCTTTCCACGCTAGACCCTTTTATTTTTTTCATATTAGATTCATTCTCAGGAACAATGACGTCATAAATGCCGAAGCGATTTTTCATTCGCATCGTAAATGTTCGCTTTCTCTCGTTTCGCCCTATTTTATTCGGCCACAGAAACAAGGTACTCACGACACGAGTTTTATTATAAGCTTACCCTTCCAAACTATATGTGTAGTGCACACTGGAGAAAATTGTTATTTGACATCGATACAAGCCAATACATTGTGGGAAAATTGCATTGATTTTATTTCGGCGAATTTGCGAACGGTTGTCTAAGTACATGTTGCGATTGAATTTCAATAATAGCAAAGAATAAAATGTGTGGTTTAGATTGAGATTTATTTAATCGAACACTCATCCCGAATATTGTATGTCGATTAATGATATCTGAAGAGTGTTAGTAGCACATAAATATTTCATATGACACGATAGTGCTCTGTCGGCCATTTTTATGAGGTCTATAAAAATCGCGCGCTGCCACTTTAGGAACAAATGGTATTATTTGTTATATCTAGTGTTATCGTTTTATTCACTATAATGAGTGTTATTGTCTTAAGAATTAAATTTAAATGAAATACACTATTCATCTTGTATCATTCTACATTAAGACTTCAACTACCAAGCTTGTAGACTTGCAGATTTCCAGGTAGTTCACATTGGAAGCTGCAAATGATTTCGAATTTTGGCAGTATGTGTTATAAGTATCACACACACTTGCACTTTACAAGTGACAAATATTCAACGTGCATTTAATGAAATTAGTATTTTTCACTTAACATAAAAAAGCAAAGATTCAATAAGAACATTTTTTACCATCACTACTCAAGCATTACACACAACAATAAATATTTATCTACCATCGATACTTATCATAAATAACAAGAGAATCTTTACGTCCCATCGTTCCCGGAACATTCAGCACATTTTAATATCACTAATACATTATCCGTATTGATTCCCGACAATGGACTTCGGTACTCCTCTTTGACCACGTAAACATATCATTCTGCGTCCTTACTATCTGTAAAAAGGGCTCGAGCTCGTTCGTCTGTTATAAGTAAACCTTTCATGTATTTTTTATTCCCTATATTTTGATATGTGGGCCCCTCGTATCACGTTCATTCAAATGACATATTGGAAGAACGTTTGAGTATGTTTCTCATCGAAAAAAGATCACAGTTTTCTTTCGAGAGTAAAACCAAATACCATCTCGTGAAGAACCAATCTAGGGAATTGATTTTCCGTCATAGGTCCCATCCGTACATAGCTACGCACGTATTATATGTGAACAGATTACATTTTTTATTAATACTTACATTAAACGATATTAGACATTGTAGAAGATATCAGTTTGTGTACACTTAATGTTGTTACGATGGAAAAATACGTATCATTGTGATTTATGTAAACAGAAATATATTTTATTTGGCTACAAGGTACAAATATTAAGTTCTTCTCATAATTAAAGTCTTTGTTAAAAAATAAATGTAGATCATTAAAGAGATCGGGCAGCATGGTTTACGTCCCCGACGGCCGCCTACCTGGTTCTGATGAGCCCCCAGACAAATAATGTTAGTCCCTGTATTTATAGGCAATGTCACCATTGTCTTCATCATGAAGGCATCATTCAACATCATTCTCCATTAACTTGAGAAATTGCGAAGGAAACGATAACTGCCTCTTTCCCAACACAATCCGCCGTCCTTCCGCAAAATTTTCATCCGTGCTGTTTTTTCGTTGTTGTGAAAAATGTTATTTAATTTCGGACAATTATTACACGCGCTCTACGAAATTACTCCAAGGAATAGGGCTCACGAATGTTGGTTTTATTTCACAGACAACGTTCCTTTTACGACAATGAAAGCTTTATGTTTAAAAATGAAAATCCCGCTGTTACCTTTATCTGTTTTTCATAATATTAAGTAAAATGCAAATAAAGGGTCACAGTTATCACAAATGCGAAACTAAGAGCTAAAAGGTTTTCTTTTATTCGAGTGTAGTTCAAACAAAATCTGCATACTTTGTTTCAGAATTTATTATTAGCTTAAAACATTGTGAAGTTCCACGAATCTTTTTCTGTGTAAAAAGCGCTGGCTACAATCTAAAGGGATTACGTAGGTATGACGTGGATGTTCGTAATAACAGATTACTTTCCTAATTTGCATTTTCATAATCGAATACGTAAGTTTACATAGGTCGGTGTGTATCACCGTTTGTCATTTCTCGCGTTAGGAACAATTGATGTGTTCGGCTTTATTAAGTGTCTCGCGTGAGTGATATCCAGGCGACACACGCCAGGTGTGAGCTTCGCGATACAAAATCCGCGGTGTTGCGTCATTTGTACGTTTTCTTTATTACGTAGCGTGATTTATACCTTAGCCCGGTGCGTTTAACTGCTGAGGTCTGTCATTTCGCCGTCTTAAATTGAGATTGATCCCGGGGAAGGGCGGGTTGACGTGTGCGTTGGCGTGTCCCGGAATTGTGTTTTTGTTTTATTTTGTTACTTTTTCCCTTTGTGTCAGGGGAGATGACGTCTTTGCGCATGCAAAGTCACCTGTCAATATTTTGGCAGCGACGCGACCTTATTTCCCCTCGTTTAAGGTTCGGTTCACGTTGTAATATTATGCCACGGTTACAGGTCCTCGCTTCAATATACTAAGTCCAAGACGCCAATTACGGCTACATTACAAAAAAAATTGCTGGACGATCTAAAATGTTATTTGTAACAGACAACCAGTTTGTGCTTTTCAATTCGTCCAATTATAAATTTTAACTAAAAGCCTTCGTTTTCAATGCTCGTACATTGATTTCAAATTGCCTATATTTTGATTTGTAATGTGAACTATTTAATGTGATGGGACGAAGCATTCATCAGCCTACTGAGCTGCTAATTACCTACATGATATACGTTGCATGCATTTGAATGTAAAGAGTAATCATGTGTGTGTAGGTATTTAATTATTCATTGCTCTAGCCTATTCAATATTTTATTTTTATTAAATCCATAGATTACTATTTAGGGTAATTCTTTAAATTGGTGTGTATAATGTTAAATGTAGGTGCATTATTTTCTCACAGCTTAGACCGAGTGGACGTGCTATTATTAGATACCATTTCACAAAGTATTGTTCGATTTCAATATATTTTAATTGTAGTTTGTGTAGCACAATACATTGATTAAAATAATGTCTCGATCTAGATGTGGTAATGATTTCTCCTGTATAAAACAATAATTTGTGATTCATACTAAGAATTGATGATACTCACGATACTGCACAGCTGCCATTTGGCCAGCCTCTGCACTGGGCCGTTGGTAGTAAAAATATCTATAATGAAGTACGTAGTAGTATTTGTGTAGTTTTTGTTTTGTAGCAAATGTTGTGCTGATTGACCAGTGTATTTAATTGATTTCTGTATTGTCCACAGAGAGGCTCAGACGAGCTTCTTTCGCAGAGTGGCGTCACCGTCATGGCGCCCGCCGCTCCGCACCACGCCGACAATAACAATCAAGACTCAGCTGCGAAAAAGGTAACAGATTTTATTTTTTACATAAAACATTAGGTACACGTATAAACTAAACATTAAAAGATCGACCTAGTTAAAATCAGGCCACTTCACTTAAAATGTGGAAAAATTATAAATTCAAAAATACCCACGTTCTATATCCATCTGATTTTACTTAACATTTTAACGGCACTTCTTTCGTTGAAATGTGTAATTAACTGAAAAACGATTAATCGCGATAAAACGGCGGAATCGCGAAACCGTAATAAGTATTAAAATAAAAGGTCCCTCGTAAAAAGCCAACGTGCCATAAAGAGCTACCCTCAGGGTTTGGGGGCCAAATTTTTATTAATCTCCACCCCTGAGTTGTCGATACCGGGATGAATTTTTACATGTGAGATTAAATCGATAAGATTAACCATTTAACCCCTTTAAGTGGCCAGTGTATATCACTCCTAACGTTAATTTTTACCAAATTTTGTCTGGATATTTTTTGTTGTTTTTTAATTATGAATGAGATGAATAAACCGACTGAAAGGCGCCTAAATGGAAAAGGCGTTACTCAGAATTAAATATTAATTGTATACGAATGCGTAAAAATAAAGTCCTTTGTTCAATATTCATAAAACAATTTCAAGTATACGAAAAGAACTTCCATTATCCCATTTCTTTGAACATTTCCCCATTTCACTCCTTCGCTAGATAATTTATTGCGTTTGCAATGAGATGTGATATTCTATCGGCTTGTTATTATATTTGTTATTTTTAACATTTTGTGTTCCGGATCCATTACGAATAATTTACATATATATAAGAGGTAAAATTGATAGCTGTAATTTTGATACAAGTAAAGTAAAGTTTGTACAAGCAAATTCCTTTAGTAATTGAACTTAGCGTTTTTAGGTATAAAACGTAAAGCAAAGTCATAGTTGATAAATAAATAAGTACGTAAAATATTTTAATAAACCGTTAACAATACTTTATAGGTTATTTACTGCCCATATTTCACTGTAACAAATAAACCGGGAACCGTTAACCTAAAGATTAAAACCGTCAACAATGTCTCCCGGCGTACACAGTACTAATCAACGAAATGTTTTAGTTACACTGTGGAAATAGTCGCGACACAAAACGTGCACGTGGTAAAAGGGAGAAAACAATCAACATAGAAGAAAACTGTTTTAAAAATAAACAAGGTCGCAGTTTTGGGGTCTTTCCCGTTGCACAGTTGTTTCATCGTGTATTTACATAAATACGGGGCGAGTTTTGCATGCGCACTTTGTTTGGTACTGTGCAAACAGTTCTTTGTTTGTCGAGACCAGTGCTGGCCGTGTGTTCTGACCACCAAATGGATTGCATCATCCATTAAAACGGAATAACGTGTTACATTGCTGGCACAGATTATTTATTACATCTAGTATTACAAGCACACAGCTTGTCAAGCTAACACAATCTGTCAAATGAATTTCACTTTGGGGACATTTTTCGTCACTGCTAAGTAAATTTCTCATAGTTTACTGACACATAACACTTACATATTATACTGATACGCTTCGTATAAAAGATACGTCCATTATTTGTCAATTATACTTACTGAAACATAATATAAAGTGCTAAAGTCTAATTTAAATAATAAAATCGAAAATTCATAAAATACATTTGATAGTTTCATGTACTGTTTGTGTTTTCATTCGCTTAGCAATTTACGCTACGCATTGCTTTAAGTATTAAAGTAAAAATGTTGGGTTTAAACTCAAAGCGAAGCCTTAGGGTAGTAATTAGCTCTGTTTACGTTTAACTGCAATTCAAATTAAAGACTCAATTCACGACTTTCTGACGTCTTAAATACGGTTGTGTAAAAATGTTGCGTTTGCTTTAAGTAGCTGAAATAACTAAGTTACAATCTAAAAGTAAAAAAATAATTTGTTTTTCCTGGATATAAAAATAAATATTTTTATATATTCAAAGTGAAGCTGCATGCAACTACATAAGTGACTCGCGAGAAGCTCAAAATTAGATAAATAACTATGTTTTCGGCTTACTCATGTAATTATTTGACGAGGAACTTCGCGGGTCGCGAAATGCTGCTCATGAATATGAGCCTCTAGCATAGCTTGAAACTAGTTGAGTTCCTCGTCAAAAAATTACGTGAGTAAGCCGAAAACATAATAGTTTGTTTAGAATGTCTCACGAAAGTTATAATACAAATATAGATAAATATCGATTATGAACTTTTGAGTATTTCTTGAAGTTTATTATTTAAATAATTTTCGGTAACCGTGGACAATAGTGTATTCTCATTCCCAAACCTTATATTTAACATCGCCGTAGGTATCATTTACGCAAATTAAATAGAAACGAACCGTCTCGTTGAAAAGAAACCATTTTCTTATTCTTCCCTCAGGCAGTTTATTTCCCCCGCTGTCACCGGTCATTATGTCACTGCGAAAATAAAATATCATACTGGCTGTTGCGTACAAGAGAAATGTTTTTATACCAATAGGAATTATATGTAAAACCTTTATAACGATTCTTGTTGGGACTATACATTGTTGTGTAGGCTGTGCGAAGAGTTGAAAATACACATTGTACGCGATAGAACAGCTGTCCAACATAATATATTTATTTAAGTTTAAACTGTCAAACACCAAGCGGTCACCGGTGACCGCAACCTATTGTTCTATAATTGTGTCTACAAAACCGGTACTCGACGAGTTAAATGCTTTATATTTATATAGTTCGATTGATAGATAGATGTATCAAGTTAGATAGAAACTCGTAATACAAACCGCAGTTAAATTTTAAACGAGTTATTTAGATAATATGTTCTAAAAGTATAAAACGCACAAATAAAACTATTATTTCTTAATAAATAACAATACATCGAAGACTCATTAATTCCTTATCGTGTAATCCTAGGCAAAACAAGATAGCAATTTTAGTTTAGCGGCGTTTTGCCGTCCATTTACTCTCACTTGTTAGGGGCGCCCTGAAAAAACCTCGCCGCAGTAATCTTAATTACATTGTGATCTCGTTACTGCTCGGCCTTAATTCATAATTAAATAGGGACGTGTCCCAACGTTGCTTATTTATTTGCTATTTTATGGTTTTGCGATTGCCTCTCTTTTTTTCTGCCATGAAAATTAAGGCAGTGCCCTTTTTGTGACACCCCTTCTCCTTTGTTGCCCTGAATATTCATTTGGTGCCTATCGGCGGAATGGCGACTCGTTTTTAAAAAGTATTTTTTATGTTCTCTCTTTGTGTTGTACTGCAAACACTTCATGCTGTGAAAATATTGAAGGAAAACTCCGAGCCTCTGTTTTATACAGAATGTTTTATGAGTTATTAAGGTCGTTGGAAAAGGTAAATACGAGTTTCGGTTTCAAATTCAACATAATGTTCAATGCATTCAGTTTTAAAAAATATTCACTTTCATTTCGCAACAGAGTTACTCTCGTTAAAATAACCAGTGTCAGAGGGTACACGTCTGTAGAAAACACACTAATCAACCCTCGTCCTCTTTGAGCGGGTCATTAATGTCCAAATCAAGTAATTAATTATGTTTCCCGTTTTTTCCTCATTTTCTTGACGTTTCCTGTAAAAACGCAAAGGGTCTGTCTTGTGAAGATCAATCAAATCAGAAGATGTTGTCCGGGGACTGCGTTTACCACTACTTAAGCATTTACGAGCTTGTCTTACGGAGTTACGACTTCGCTTGCACAGGTTGACTGCTGATCTTATTTGGAAGAATTTACGATCTATTCGGTCCCTTTTTTCTTATTCATTGGAGTACCTAATTGTTATTTTCTTTTTAAATTACTTTACGCAGTGGAAACCGTTAAATTAGCTGGCTAAATTATAAATAGCCTTCTGTTTTATATTCGAATGACGCCCTGTAGACGAGAATAACTTATTTAGTAAAGTACCTTTAAACGGTTCTAGTTGTGAGATATTTGCGTTTTGTGAGTGCTAAGCGCGTACGCAAATAATGCGGCCGCGTTTATTGACTTCGTTAGTACATAGTTTAGTTGCTAATAGAACAATTAACATCAATTCTGCTTACTAATGAAGCCGAGAAAACAAAGTATATTTCGTTGTAAATCTTAAAATAACTAACGGTTATAATGAAACAGTTGTTATAAAAACAAAATATGATACGACCGCTTGGTCTGTCGATTTCATTCCCAGAAAATTCAGTAATCAATCAAATGATCTCATAAAGATATTCATTGCCGGGCACTTACTATTTTACTGCTAGTTTTAGGGGGTAATAAAACCATTTGGCTATCTTATTTTACGATTTCCTACCACGAACACGAGCGCGCGTCTATTCAAACAAAAACTTATGGTACGTGTGATTTAAGACATAGTTACAGATGGGCTGGGATGTTTACTGTGTACTACTCTAGTGGTATCATTATTGCATTTATTTGCTATTACGACATTGTGTGTGAATTTTATTGTTATTGAATTTGCTGGCAAAGTTCTGATGTACTCACGATAAATTTTAAAAATCTTAAACGTAATATCTGACTTCTTACCTACAATAACAATAAAACTTACGAGCCGTACTTTCATATTACCATAAGTAAGAGTAACTTAAACCAAGACTAAATTTACCATGGCTAATTAGAACAAAAACTACTATACCTACTTAATTAAGGATTAACGGATAACAATATTTATTTCAATGAATAATGTTCTTAAGGCAAATGGCTGGAAGTTGCGAAGCGATTCAGGCCCAGAGAGGGCCACTATTAAAAGTTTACCGGCGCAAAGTTGTCCCATTCTTATGCATGGATGAATTAGCACCTCGCTAAGTAAAGTGTGGATGTTCGACCACTTTTCTTCTCGAATATTCTTTGGGAAACTTCGCTGTTATAGGCTTTAAATAGTAATAATAATATTACTAAACTTTTTAGAGTTTCTAAATTACTGTTCTTGTTTACATAGGAAAAAAAAATATTCCCCCTTTTACAATTAGGTTAATAGTATATCTCTTATTGTTATAATGTGTAACGATA